TCCATGGGGCCTGCACCTGTTCCGGGGCCAGCACTGGCAGGGCCCAGAGCAGGGAGGCAGGAGTGCAGGGTCCCAGCCAGCAGGGGCTCTATGGAGACAGGCCAGCTCCCCACTCTCCCTGCTGGTGCAGCCCAGCCCGGCTCCACAGACCCCTGCCAGCCTACGCCCCGCTCTGGGCCCCACCGGTGCTGGCCCTGGGACATTGGTCCCAAGATGGTGACCAGGGGGCGGGACACCTGTCAAGGGGCAGGGCTATGCATGCAGACCTCAACAGCTTGCCAAAACTCGGTAAACAGCCCTCCGCCCAAAATAATTGCCCGCCCCTGGACTAGACAGCCTCCTGAGGTCCCTTCTAGGCCTCATTTTCTATGATTCTATGAACAAATTAGACCAAGGAGGACTAAGCCATTTAACACTGCTTGGCAGTTTCCAGAGAATATTTAGTGAAGACCATTTCTTCTGCCTTAGCAAAGAAAGCAAGGGGAAAAATCATCAAAACAAGTGAAACACTGGGGGAGACTAACCCATTTGTACTTAGGTTCACAAAGGAACATTTGCTACTTACCTTGTGGTCTCCTGTCAGACAGTCAATCTCAACTTCAGAACAAGCAACTCCAAAAATAAAATATGGAAAAGCATGGCCTTCCCCTTTTTCCCAGTTCATATATGTAACGTAGCCTCTGGTGGAAACAAGACCATCCTTCAGACTGAGTGAACAATAACATTCTATATATATATTACCTCCTCCCCTCTCACAAGAGAGCAGCTTGCCATGTAAATCACATAACAGCAATTGGTTAATGATCTACTGGCAGTTGTCTATTTTCACAGTATCTCCCCAGGTGAAGAAGATCCTGAATGTTGTATTGCTGTTGTCTGTTGTTCGTGGCAGCAGAAGGGGGAGGGGGACAGAGGGCAGGAGCCTGTGTGGAGGCAAAGACTTATGGGTGCTACAGAGCACAGCTCCTTGTAGGTTCCCTGTGCCCAATTGTGGCAGAGATGGGAGGCTGGAAAAAGTACATGAACCCACCCAAACACCTCACATGGCAGTAGCAGCTACTTAGTATGGTCTCAGAGGGAGACACCTTTCCTGTACCGGAGTCTAGAGTCTCCCCAGCAGACAGCCTCTTTCCTGGGCTCTCTGCTGTGTCCAGGAGTTAGCATTCAGAATAGGAGGAAAAGGAGACAGGAAAATGATTAGAGAGGGTACATGGGGAGAATTTTATCTTTGCTGGACCCATAATCCAGGCCCATAACTGTGATCCTTGATGCCAGGAATTTCAGGTAGCCTTGGGAGTGTTCCTTACTTGAAATAGCCAGTAGCTGAGAGACTGATACTTTCCTGGTGAGCTTCCTTAATCTGCAATGGACATATTTATTGTCATACAAATAAGCATTTCTGAGAAGCAAATGATTTTTTTATGCTAAAACAATAATAAGAAGACAAACCAGGGAGCCCAAAGCTAAAACCTTCCCATTCCTTCTGCAACTGAGGAATGACACAATAGAGCTGCCCAAGAGGCATCACAGTTGGTTTCCCTATATTGGCAGTCATTGGCTGCCTTGGCATAAATAGGTCAGTTGTAGTTCAGCATAGTTATAGATGTACAGGGCTTCTAATACACATCAGGCCTAACTGACCTGCTATGGTCACAGAGGGTGCCTAGATACGTTGTGCTTCACGTTCTAATTAGAACATGTTGGAGCAGATTTGATTAAGCTGCTGTCTGCTCTGCATTCTAATTTTAGCATCATGTGTATTAAGCTCCCGCACATTTTAAAACGGCCATGGGGTGCTAAAGCTAAACCTTGCCAAACAAGGTTTAGATAAAGCATCCCATGGCCATTTTTAAACACACAGGGGCTTAATACATGTGACATTATGGTGTTTTAATTAGAGTGGCTGCCTGAGAACTGCTCTAATTAAAAGACCCCCTCCCCATCTCCAAGCACATGTATAGGCAGCCAAAGGGAGTCAGTGCAAGAGAACCCAGAAACTGTTTGCTCCCATTTCTCTGCTCCCCCAACTAGATCACAGGCTGGCTTTACTGCACTTCTTGCTTTTCTGCAGAAAAGAATTGGAAATATTTACACATTTTACAAAATTTACACGATACAAAATAATCGTATTTTAATTTACACATGATACAAAATAATACTATTGATTTCATCATCATGGCTAATTCATGCATTAAAATGCATTGGTGCATTATGATCTATTTCAAACCAAGGAGATAAGATGAAGAAACCTCTCCGAATATGCATTCTTTAGCTTGCTAGCCATGTCAGGTTTGGACTGCCTCTTTTCTATGGTTGTACAGCACCCAGCATGATGAGGAATTCTAGACATCTTTGCAATATAAATATTTTCCCAGCTATTCTTAGTAATATATTAGAAGCCTGAACAAATATGAAGAACCAATTACCTTTCCATAGAGAGAGAAGTGGGATTTTATAGGCATTTGTGTTCAATGAACACTGATACATGGGGCAAATACTTGGTGCTTGCTGAAGAAAATAAAGCCGATGAAGTTAACCAGCATGGAAAGGCAGGTGAAAAAGGACTTAGAGATGCCTCAAGCCCTATGACAAAACTAATGTGGTGATATACTGGGAGTCATTGCAGGGAGGGAGAAAGCTCATCACACATGGTGTAATGGGAGCTGAGGCAGATGCATCCATAGCACCATCAAGAATTATGGAGAGAAAAACCAATACCCTGCCCAGACTTAACTAGCCAAGGCTACCCAAAGGGGAAAAGTACTTTGGACCATAGCTCACTAGTGAGGCCTTCCTTTGGCAATGAACAGAACGATGGTGGCAGGGTTCAAAATGCTCTTAATCCATGTGGATGATAACAGCATTGGAGCCTTTAGGAGTCATCAGTATATAACAATATGTCTATTAACATGTGTTTTATTTTTGATGCCTGGAACAGAACAATTTTCACAGGGTTATGCCTATGCAGAAACGCTGTCTCAGATGCCAGCACTTCCTTTCCAATAATGTCGTGTGGCCTCCTTATCGAGAAGGTATTTCTGATAAGTACTGAACAGCTGATGTATCCATATTGCAGGAGTCAGATGACAGTCCAGCATCCATCCCCATCCAATAGTGGACCTGACTAATCCTGGACCTACCCTGGGTATGTAAGAAATGGCACAAGGACACCTCACACAAAGATAGTTTCAAGACCTGGCCAGTCATGCTGGGGGATCAGCCTGTGCAGCCCCTACAGAGGCACAACCCCTCCCCAAGCTGCCCAGGGGCATTGCAGTTCCACGCTGTGGGCTGGGGCTAAATACCAATGACTCATCCATGGAGCTATCAGGCCTGTAGAAAGATATACAAGCAGCACTAACCCAGTCCTCCCATTTGCCTTCAGGATTCTTCTGAATGATGGGTTCCAGGCGCTTCCGAAGAATCTGACAAGCATCCTGGGGAGGAGACAAATAGAGAACAATGAATAGAGCCAAGGAAATGAATCCAGCAACAGTGAGCTCTGATTTGTGAGACAGATTCATTCTGAGGATGATCTTTCTGCTCCTCCCCCTGAACATCTAATCCCACCTCTCTTGCCTTCCAGCTGGATAGCACAAAGGCAGCACTTACCAAGGACCAGTAGTGGCATCTGCTCTGGTGTAACTGAGCTATTTACACACCACTGTACAACTGAAACCCTCTCCAAAGAGAAGCCAGAGAGCCTGGCTCTTCTTTTTTGTTTTTGTTTTTTGTACACTGGATTGAACACCACTGGATCTGCATGATGTATACCTTGTTTGCAGCAGTGTAAGTGAAAACAAGATCAACGTGGAAGAGGTGCAAACACTCAGAGCACTATTAATTATTTGAAAGAAACAACAACAATAATAATTCATAATAAATGTGACCTGGACTGCTTTTCCATTGGTTTCTGATCCAACTGATCCTGCTGTGACTAATGCGTTAGGTACAGTTGTTGTACTTGTTTCACACAGGTGTATGTATGACAGTGGTACCTTTAATTCACGGCTAGCAACCTGTAAGGGAAGTAAACAAAATGACATCTGGTCCCTCAGAGGCTTACAGAATTGGCAGAAGTCAAGACAATATATAATGTTTATTTGAATCTAAGACAAGTCTCCCCCCCGCCCCCGGTCAGCATGGGGGGAAAGGACCCTTATCTTAGATTTGTGCACAAAGTAAGGGTGGGAGCAGGTGGCCATTGTGGCTCTGACTGACGCTGAGCCCAGGTCGGGCCACAGTCAGACCCACAGCAGCCTGTTGCCCTGCAACCTTCCCTCTGCAGCTTCTTCCTCTTCCTCTGGCCCTTTCCCCCACCTTACTGTCAGGCATAGCTCCGCTCTGTCTGGGACGGGGTTCCCTCCAGGCATGGAGCACATGGACACTGTCTCCTGCCCAGCCAATCAGCGGCTCCCACCCTGATGCATGGCTCAGCAAGGGCTGTGCTTCCACATGCTGTACTCCAGCTGATGTGGGGAGTGGCAGGGAGAGGCAGGGAGCAGGGGGAAGGGACAAAGATCATGGGGAGTTGGGGAGAGGGGCAGAGGTGTTGGGGAGCTGGGGTTGGGGGGTGCCAGTGGTAAGGGGGCAGGAAGGATGCAGGGGGAAGAAGTGGGAGTGGCAGAGCGCAAGTGGACCACTTGACACCCCAGTCACTATTTCCCCTGCTGTAGCAATGCCAGGGTACAAATTTAAGACAACCCTCCAATAATTAGATTCTATATCTGGAAAATTATAACACATTTATGCATTTTCCATATATAGAATCTAACTATTGGGGGGACTCCTTAAATTCAAGGTTATCTTAGATTTGAGTAAATACAGTGAAAAATGTTGCCATTTGTACACACACACACACACACACACACACACGTGCTATTTAAGTTGTTTATATGCCCAATTTACAATGCTGCACCACATTCTGGTAGTCATACCTCTCTTGTTTGCCACATGGAAGTTCCCAAATTATTTATATGCCATATAAACATGGCAACTCCATAATTCTTAGTGCTTATAATATTCACATAACATGCAGAATCAAGGGACTGATGTTAGATATGTTTGTTACACTAAAGAAATTAATCCCACAGGCACTTGGACCTTAGATACATTCATAGCAGTGATGCAGGTACCTCCATTTTTTTAATAGGCTCAGCTCCCCTGAGTTCTCAATAGAATAGATAGATTGTGAGCTAGTTTCTAAACAAATCCTTACCCCACTCCTGAAATTTGGTCTCTTGGGTAAATCAGGAGCAGTAACACAGTACTCCCTTCAGCCTCAGATTCCCCACTATCATGGCTGTCCCTAGACTTTCCATACAGGACCTCAGGGTGCTGGTCACCTTCTCAACTGATGCCATGGCATGAATATCTTTCTGGTTTTAGTTCTGTCTACAGTCAAATGGTTAATTCCTGTCCTACCTGTAGCATCTTGGTGTGAATTCCTTGTCCCAGTTCAACTCCACCATGAGTCACCAGCACTGACCCATCTGTATAGATATGCACCAGAGCTGCAGCCTAAAGAAAGGTAACAGAAACTGGTTGAATCTTCTTAATCTGTTAAGGCTGATGTTAAATTTACTAAAAGGAGAAAGGAAGGAGGCAGTTTTGTACCCCTGAGAGTACAGAAATCAGCATATTATTAATTCAGAGGTGGGTTAGGGGGTATGTGTTAGACATCTGACATGGGAAATCTTTGGCAGTTAGCAATTTGGGATGAGGGGCTGTCTAGTTAGGCTGCTTGTTGTGAACTGGAGTTCTGCGAGTATTGCAACAATTCATTTCAACAAGTGGTTATTTTCTTTTTCCTGTGAGATTGGGTGAATGAGTCATGTTATCCAGCTTCTTGTGGTGACATGATTAGCATTAGGTACTGCTCCCTCCTTGCCCCAGTAAGAGCATGAGATGGCAGTGTTTGATGTTGGATTGTCAGTCCTTGTGGGCATCAGGCAATGTAAACATACTTTTTTTTCTTTGGGTTTTTTTTTTTTTTTTATAAGTGAATGATGTTGCCTTCTCTTGGCTGGCCCCCAAAAAAGAACAAAGCACCTAAAGGACTAGTTACAGAAGTTCTTTAGATCAAGTATTAAGTGCCTCTGTTTTGAATTCAGAGCAGGGGCGACGCATAGGGCATGCACATGGGGATGCACCCCCTGAAAAAGGCACCCCTGCGGGTGGTCGCCACTCACCACCATGATCACCTCTGGCTGCTGCCAATGCTGCCGGCGTGCCTGTGGGTGGTTGCTGACTTGTGGTCGGAACTCGCCACCTGCCCCCCACCCTGCCGACAGTGCCGGCAGCATCTGCAGGAGCTCACTGCCTCCAGGCACAAGGAGAGACTGGTGTACGGTGGCAGGACGGTGGCAGCGCAGGTTGGTTGCACACAGCGGTGCAAAGTGGTGGATGGCGGTGGCACAGCAGCGGTGGCATGGTTTAATAGGGTATGCTGGAAAACAGGGATTTTACTGTATTTACATTCAACCTGATATCCTGCCACACTTTTAGCTTCTCTCATTTCTTGGGGTCTCAGAACAGCAGAGACTGCTAAGAACTTTTTTCCAACTACTCAATTGGTCTAATAAAAGATATCACATCTACTCAAAAAACCTTGCCTGCCTATAGGCTGCCAAGTGAATGGACTGGGAACCCCAAGTTGTCTATTCTTATTCTAGCACATCCATGTCATTTTTCAGATTCCACAGGGGTAGAGATCATAAAATGGGCAGAAAGGGAAGAAGCAAATTTGAAAAGATGTGATAAACTTCTATTTAGCATTACACATTGGGAAAACAATCTCTCCATGACAATAATCCTATGAAAGCTCTTTATACTGATGGTGGAACAAGAGGCTCTAGTTGAGAATTAAACATAATGCTGAACTAAAAGGATTTACATCTACTTCTGCAGGGCTAAGACTGGGACAGAACTATGAAATCAAATGACCGTGGGATACCATAACATGTCCTGTTGTTTTTCCTTCTGGAGCTGAATGCGTTATCTGTTCAGGGACCAAATCCCGAAGTTCTTATTCAGGGGACTCACCCACTGACTTTAAAGAAGTATCTTAGCTGAGTGTAAATAGAATAAATACCAATGTCTTACACCTCAGGAGAGGCTTATCTCCCTCCCCTGTCCTTCCTGTTACTTGCCAACAGTAAACTACAAAGTAAGGGTAAAGAGGAATAAAGTTGCATCTGTCCTGATGGATTTCCCTTTAGGATTGAAATTCATCCTTGTGGATAAACTTGGCAAAAGGCCAATGTATATTTAAGTTCTATTCGGGCATTACTTTGAGGGCTTAGGTAGGACTTGGTGCTTGGTCTGCTACTGACCCTCTGCACAGGAATAAATACCCACTTGTGTGTGTATAACTCCCAGTCTGAATGCTACTGTAAAATATTGCTGGGTGAAGTGTTTGAACCTCTCTCTTAGCTAACAATCTACAAACTTGCTAGCGCATGACACACGCAATCAAAACGTGGAGGAAATGGGTGAAGTGTGAATCTCGGGTTTTATGGTGCCTTGTTCCATAACTCACAGATTATAATTTTTGTGTTATTTTTTAAATTAAACAAAAATAAAAGAGTTGTCACCATCTGAATTGAATGGATCAAAACTGAAAGAAATGAAATTCCTGCATGTGCAGCTCTATGGAACTTTGTAGGGCCATCCATAGGGTTTGAACCATCTGGCCCCTAACACAGGCCATTGCTGCTTGAGTTACAGTAGTAATGATTATCTTCTATGTCAGTGGGGGGTCCAACCTTTTTGAATGTGGGGCCAGATGACAAACTTTTTATCACCCAGTGTGCCGGTGAGCCATATTCAAAGACCTCACAGGAAGTGGTATCACATCAAGAAATGATGTCACATGACCTTTGACACAAATGAAGTTGCAGGAACTGACAATGAAATGGGTCTGGAAATGTGGTTTAAAATCCAAAATAAAAACAATATAAAAAGCATCAAAGAAATAATACCAAACACTCATGTGGTCAGGCAGGAGACAAGTTTCCCTACTAACACAGAGGGACAGCAAAGTTAGGGCACACAAGCTTCTTTCTGAAAAGCATACATGTGGCATTATGTTGGATCACCTTGGACTGCCCAGAATCAATGACTCAGTTCCCAAATACAGCTGGGGGCAAAAAGAAGGGAGCTTTTAGCACAAGTAGAAAGCAGGACTTACACTTGCCTCTCTCAAATACAACAACACACTATAACTGCTCTGCCCCCATTTTCCCTTTTGTAACCAAAAACAACGAAGAGTCTCCCCTGTGAAAGGCACACATACAGTCACCAGCCCAGCCCCAGGGGAGGTGCCGTCTTCCCGCCCCCGGCCCGGCTTGGCCCTGCCTGCGGCGCCCCGGTCGGGCAGGAGGCGGCAGGGGCAGACGACGAGGGTGAGCCTGGCCGCCGCGCTCCCTCCGCGGGTTCGCTGCGCTGGGTTGGAGTGAGCTGGAGCCGGGGCCGGGGCTGGGCGGCACCTTGGGGCGCAGCGAGCGCAGGCTCCGCCCGAGCCTGGGACTGCTCCGCGCAGCGTGGCCAATGTGACAACCCGGCGGGAGGAAGCACCTGCCTGTGCCGCTCCACCTCCGCCAGTGACCCGGGGCCGGGCAGCCAAGCCGGGCTGCCTCTCGTCTGCAGGCGGGGAGTGGCGAGTCGCTTGGGCCAAGAAGTGGTGGCTTCCCCACGTGGCGCTGGGGATGGGAGGAGGCGGGCTGGGTCTGCACTCCTCTTCCCACGTGCACCGTGTCGGCAATGTCAAGCTGACGCAGTGCGCGTGGGAACCTTGTCCCTTCAGCAGCCATTAGGAAGCTGCTGAGGGGCTGGGGGAGGGACGAGGGACGGGAACGAAAGTAAACAGTGTTTACCTTAGCTTCCCGTTGCAGCACCGTGGGCCACAGAAAATGCCTTGGCAGGCCGCATGTTGGACAAGCCTGTTCTATGTGAACCAGACAATAGAGGGTGGCATGACACACAGTTTTTGGGTAGAAAGTAGTGGAAAAATCAAGAACTGAGGTTCTCTTCTAGGCCTGGGGGGGATTAGTGTGAATCATGAGTTATGCTGGCATTTACTGAGAGGACAGCCATGCACGTGGTTCTGGCACAGTCATCCTGAAAGGATAGATGACTGGGCAGCTGAGACTTGAGTATATCAAATTAGAAATCCAGGTCTCTATCTCCCTTCCTTCTACCTTTGTCCTTTCTGTCTTGGAAAGCTATGCTCCCTGGGTTTTGTTAGACTGTTGGAGCTTTTGGATGTTTTATGGCAACATTCCTAAAGCTTACCTGATGGTAAAACGTCATATTAAATCCAGCTGTGAACTTCATGGGAATAATAGCAATCCCTTTCTTTTTCCAGTAATTTTGCTTGTTGAATTCTTCCGCTGCTGTTTTCCTGCTGTAGTATTCAGACTTCTCCAAACATTCTGTCCAACATTTCCTCAGGTTTGTTGCATCAAACTGCTCTTTGAAAGGAGTTACGTTAACTCCTTCATACATGTTCATGTCCCGAACCTGGAAAAGGAGTCAAATAAGAAGATCCTAATTATCTACCCAGTGCCAAAGATTTTCAAAGCATATTACTGATTCCCTGGTCTAAAAAACTCACAATGAAAGGACCTGATTCTGTCAGGTATATCAAGTAGTACACATTTCCCTGTGTAGTGTCAGTAGCACTATTCAAATGAATAAGTATTATTTGGTATGAAGAAAGCCTTGCTTCTTGCAAGTTGCAGTGGGGCTACCATATTTATTTAAATCCAACATTAGGATTTTTTCCCCATGTTCAACATAGGGAAAAAAAGCCCCTCATCTTGGATTCAAGCACAAGGAGAGGGGCTTGGGGCCAGAGTCAGAGCTGCAGCAGCTGCCTGCCCCTCCTTTGCCATTCCTCTCCTACCTCTGCCCCCTCTGCCGATCCCCATAGCCTCTGGCCCCCTGGTGCCTTCTCCCTTCCACCTGCCCCCCGCTGCTTATTGTCATTTGTGGTTCTGGGCATGGAGCACATGGTAGTTCTGACCCCGGCCTGGCCATACAGCAACAGTGGTGGTGGCAGCAGCTCCAGCATTGCAGGGTCAGAGTTGCTGTGGCTGCAACTATTGCTACATAGCTGGGCCATGGCCAGAGCTACCCTGTGCTCTGTGTCCCAGGGTGGAATGGGGCTGGAGCCATGACTGATGGTAAGTAGCAGTGAGGCAAAGGTTTGGGGCAGGGAGGCAGGCAACAGATGGGGCAGAAGCTTCAGGGAAAACATGGGGGCAGGTGGGGGACTTGGTAGCAGCAGGCACAGACATCATGGGGAGGGGGACAGGCAGCAGGGGTGGGGGACTGATTAGAATACAGTTGTCCCTGGGCTGATCAAAAAAAGATTTTGCAGACATCATGTGGGGGGACGGCAGCAGGGGAAATAAGCGATGAGGACAGGAGACAAGGGGTAGGGATCAGGCTGCTTGCCCCTCAACTGCTGCATTCCCTACTGTAGCACTGGGGGGATGGATTTAAAAGACAACCCTACAATAGTTAGATTCTACACATGGAAAATTATAACACACTTATAAACTGTCCATGTATAGAATCTAATTATTGGGGAGGTCATCTTAAATTTGAAGTTGTCTTAGATTTGGGTAAATATAGTAGTTCAAGAATAAGCTGTATGAGCAGAGGTGGTAGGATTTTGCTCTATATGAACCTATTACAGTAAAAAAAGCTTGATAAAGATTAGGTCACTGTTTCTTTTCCACATGGATTTGGCCATTTACTTCAGTGAGAGCAAGGCCTCTATCTTGCCTCATTTTATTTGTTAACTTCAATCTGTTTACCTTCTCGGGTGGTAAACCAGTTTGGGTTGCCACGGCTATAACCCAGGTTTCTGCAAACAGTCCTGATTGTGGGAAGCCAAATCCCCGGAAGGCAGTATTTGAGGGCAAATGCGTTTTGCAGGCGCGGCCCCTGACTCGGAAATTGGGGATCTTGTAAGCGTTATCCATTTTTAATACAATATACGCTATTACCTGTAGCAAGAAAGAAAATTCCTGTTAAAACAACTTTTTTCCTTTTGAATGAGCATCATCCCACACTAAGAAGCAATTCGCTGGACTGCCAAAAACTGCTTAAAAGGCGGAACAGTATTGTACCCAGGAGGCCCGATTGTTCTGCTGTTTCCACCAGTGTAAATCAGGAGCAGCTGCTGAGGCCAGGAGAATAATGCTTGTGCAAAATGAGAGTTGGTGATGGGGGAATACCTTGCATGTTCAGAGACACAGTGGGGTGCTCTAAGCTAGGCAGTTATCTAATCAACATGGGCATGCTCCATTGCAATCGTAAATATGAAATTCGTAAGCCCTTATGACGGGCAGCAGACAACCTCCTTGGTTGTCCCTCAAAACAAAGATCCATGTCACAGATGTATATCTGTTGCAGACCATGAAGGGTCCCTAGCTAGAGTAGATTCACTACTTATTAAAAACAAGTAATAGCAAATAGAATTGAAGGGCCTGCCAACACATCTCTGCTGCCACTATCAGTACCCCCCCCCAAAAAACCATTAGAATCCCAGGCTTCTATGCAAGCCTCTTAGAGCATGACATACTTCCAATATACCAAATGCCATCATGGATAGTAGGTGACTGAAAGCAAACAACAATTCCACTCCAGAATGAACTCCCACAGAAAAATAATAAAGACAAGAAGCCCCCTAGCATTAATGGGAGAAGGCTTTTCACAAAAATGCCACCCAGTCTTGCACTTCACAGTCCTTACCTTCAAAGAAGGCCCTCACAGTACCTTCAGATGCCATGCTTGGAAACAAAGATTCATAACTTCACTTGATGCCAAAAGCCATGGAGTTAACAGTGATATTAGTTTTATGCCTCATTGAAACTTACCTCTCACTTCTCCCCTTGCTAACTTTTGTTTGATTCACAAGTGATAACTATCCACTTTTATTTCAATTAATCACATTTATTAAATTATGTCACATTGAAGCAATTGTTTAAGTTATACTTTGCATGGAAAGTAACCACTTTTTTCCCTAGCCCTGAACAGTTGAAGCTTGAAAGTTGAAGTAGAACAGTTGAAGCTTGGAAGTTGTCTTCTATCTCTCCCAACTATACTAGTCCAATTAAAAACATTACTTCTTCTGACAAATTCTGCTTCAGTGAAGTGACCACCTGTTTACGAAGACGTACCATTTCAGACTCGTCTGGTGTACACCCAGCATTAATGTAGGCCTGAATGTCTGCAGCCACGATTCTACCGTCATTCATGAATCCTACCTATAACACAAGAGCCAACACTTTTTGTAATCTTTCCAAGCATGTATGACAACTTGCTCTTTGTAACCAAACCAAACAGCATGTACAAGTTAAACAAGAGACTCAGACTCCTGAACTTTATGAGTCCTGCTCCTGCACCAACCAAAGTCTATTGGAGTTTTGCTATTGATTTTGATAGTCAAAGAAAGGAGGCCTCATATGAATTTAAATAAATGCACCATTATCTACAGGATGATGTAACTGTGGAGCTGCAAGGGCAGAATTTGGATTCAGACTGTACATTATTAGAAGATCTCTGCTATCCTGAGCAGCTCTGGTACTATTCTTTTATATGCACACTGATTATGGGTTATTCACTTGAAAGTTGTCCATTGCTCTTTTCTTGCATGAAACAGCAAGGCAAGCTTATGATATCTGATTGCCCACAATGCAAAGATTTTCACCTGTTTGAAACCCAGACTAGACCTGAGTAGGGAGATGCTGGCCAAACGGGAAAACTGGGTCCACAATCAAGACTCTTTATTACTCAGGTCATGTCTGGATCCATTCATCTTACATTTTTCTTGACTATGCACTAGCTCAACAGATGCTCTCTGCTTAATTGGTAAGAGTTATTTTCCCTTTGCTGGTGCTATTTTTCCATTCTGTCAGCTGATGAAAGAGGTGGATGGTAGGCCTGTGTGAAGCAGCTAGTATTTGTTTTGGATTCGGATTTGGGCGATTTGGGGGATAGTGATTCAATTAGTTGATTCAAATCACTGTCCTGAATTAATTCGGCCAAATCTCTGAATTGAACAGGCCCCATCCCTTACCTGCTCTCCCAGCCACATCAATGGCTGCTCCACCCAGCCCCAGCGTCCCGGCACTTAAAAAAAAAAAAAAGCCCCACACTCACCAGATCCTGCCAGGCTCTGCCACTGAGATCCCAAAGGCCTGACAGCTGCTGCAGGAGCTTCCAAGTGCAGGGCTTCTTTTTTTTTTTTTAAGTGCTGGGACACTGGGGCCGGGTGGGGTAGCCATTGACGGGGCAGGGAGTGGATGGCACTCAGGGGAGCTGGGGGAGCAGGCAGGGGATGGGACCAGGTGGGGGTCCCTCCATGGTCCCCTCCTTCCTTCTTCAGCCTCCCTCCCCTCGTCCCTTATTTACTGGCACAGAGGCCGGGTTCAGCTCCCTGCAGCAGTGTGTGGCAACCACCCAAATCTCCAAATCTTTTCCAAATCAATTTTCAGGCTTTGAATTGATTTGGACCTTTTTATTGGTCTCACAATTCAATTTAAATTCCAAGATTCGTCCGCCAAATCGGGCTGAATCTCCTCTGAATCGTATAATCCCTTGCATAAATTAAATAATCTTCATCTTAAAAGCAGTGACATTTTTGCCCCATTTCTCTACTGGAAATACAATGAAGCTTATTTAATTTATGCAAGAGATTATATGACATGCTATGGGCTGGACTCCGTGACACCAGAGGCCTTTCAGTCTTATATTCCTACATCTATTCCTATTAGTTTTAGTATTATATAATTATATAGCCAGATTCATTTTGTATGTAATATACTGCTATGTTATATACTATAACAGTATAATATAATATGTTTTGTGTGTTATATACAGCCTGTTCCAGAATATTTCTCCTCTGTTAGGAGTTTTTTCTAATATCCAATATAAATTTATGCTTGGCCAGTTTATCAACATTTACCTTTGTGCCAACCTTGCCCTTTAATTTATAGCTTCTACTGTGGTGTTTATCCTCTTGAGGCACTTACAGAGAGCAGTCATATCTGCTCACAGCTGTTGTTTGCTTGGCTAAAATCCAAGCTCTTGTGTTCTCCTCTCAGAAAACTCACTCTGAAGTTCCCAAATAATTCTAGTAGCCTTTTCTTCACATCCATTAAAAATGTGATTAACCTTTCTTGAATAAGTTGATGAGAATTGTAGAAAATATTCCAGGTGAGCTGTCACCAGGGCCTTGTACATTGCCACTAATACATCTGTATCTCTACTGGAAATACTTCTGCGGATGTGTCTGAGGATCTTATTTGCCTTTTTCATAGCTGCATGACACTGCTGGCTCATAAGATGTATTTGCACTGCACAACACAGTGCTACATAGAGATGCTTGAACCAGCTGTAAGTGGACTAGGAGACCTGTCCTAATTAGCTCCTCCTATGCTAATCTACCCTACTGACAATTTAAAATACCTGAGGCAGAGCACTGTAGTAACAAAGTTACTGCTTCTGATAAATTAGCTTGCTCGTTTACTCTGCACTGTTCTGGGTAGATATACTCCATGTCATCCTGGGATTGACTGCTATACTAGGCCTTTCTCTTCCTCTATCATTTTCAACTGATGAGCTCTCCGTTTACAGCAGAAATGTTCATTGTTAGTTCCTAACTGACTTGCACTTTTGTAATATTACATTGCGTGCCATTTTACTATTGCAGACCTCCTGGTAATCTGTTGGTCCTCTGTGATAGTCCAGGCCTCTGGTATATTGATGATGCCTTCCAGCTTTGTGGCATCAGCAAGTTTCATTAGCACACTTCCACTTTAGGTGCTACCATCATGCTACCATTATTAATGAAAACATAAAACAGGAACAAAGAGTGGGCAACATGGGCAGTTCTTTGAACAAAAAGAAATAACAGTGAAGTTTCCCAAGGATCTATGCTGGACCAGTGCTGTTTAATAATGTCATAAATGAAAAGAGAAATGACTAGTGAGTTTGCCAAGTTTGCAGATTACGTGCAATTATTCAGAGTGATAAAATCAAAGCAGACTGTGAAGAGCTACAGAAGAAACTTGTAAAACTGAGGGAATGAGAAAGAAATGGCAGATGAAATTCCACGCTGATTTGTGTAAAGCGATGTACATGGGGGAAAGCAACACAAAATATATATACATGATCAGGTATTTGTTTTCCTGTTTTAGAAAAAAAATGAGGAGAGATTTTGGAGGCATTGCAGAGTCTGTAGATGGTTCACTAAAACATCAGCTCAGCATTCAACAACAGGGAATTGTAAACAAAACAGAAAGTATCATTATGCCCCTTTATAAATCTGTGGAGTATCCACAATTTGAACCCTGCATCAGTTTTGTATGGCTTCCACCTAAAAGAATATAAAAGAACTAGAAATGAAAAGTGAAGGGCAACCCAGGTGACCAGGGGTATAGAAGGACATCCAAGTGAGGAGAGACTAAATAGGATAGCGCTTTTCCATTTATGTAAGAGATGGACTGGAATATGATAGAGTGGGAACATGACAGAGGTTTACAAAATATTAACTGGTGCAGAGAAAATAAATAGGGATTTATTATTTACTTTTTCTTACAATACTAGGCGTAGGGGACATGCAATGGAACGATTAGGTAGCAGGTCTAAAACTAACAAAAGGATGTTCTTTTTCTTTTCTTTTACACACAGTGTGTATCCTAAACCCCTGAATGCTTGAAGCTGCAGTGGAAGAAGAGCAGGGGGTTGGACACTTCTGGACATGCTCTATTTACCATCCTCCTCAGCATCCACTTCTGCCACTGAGTGCTACAGATTACTGGGTTAGATTGGCCTATGGTCAGACCCAGTAAATGGCAGTTCCTATGCTTCTATGTTCTTAGGACCGGCCCTGGAACTTCATTAAAGCTCCACTAGTAACTTGCCTCTGACCTGATTCATTAAGTTAATACCATAAGCAAATGCTGCAGACATTTTGCAGAAGGATCCTTCAGAAAGCTTATTGTTAGCTTGCATTTATTCCTTTTTGGTTTTTCATCATTTTTGTGCCCACTGATTTAATGTCTCATTTATAACAACATCTAGAAGAGAACAATCAAAGCAACCAAAATGAAAACCCAGATTCAAACCAACACAATCCAAACCAACACAACTAGGCCCAGGATCCTTAACTGGTGCAAGCAGAGGTGACTCCATCAGCTTCAATAAAGCAGTACTTGATTTATACCACCCAAGGGTCTTGCCCAAGATAGTTCTGTGATCTATCTCCCCTTCCCACTCACCTTATATTTTCCAAGGAAAGGGTGTCGGTTTCCAACGATGAGCATATCATCATGTCGCTCCAAGATAAAACGGACTGGACGCCCAGTCCTAAAGAAAGCACATAAATCTCACTTTAATCAGTGTCACAACATTGCAAACTGCAGGAAGATGAAGCTACCGAGCCAAACTATTGCTGCCGTAACTCCACTGAGGTCTGGGATGAACTGGGCCGTTGCACTTCTCAAGTGTCTGTTAACCTCACATTTATCCAGTAAATGGTTAAGTTTAGGTTGAGACAGGAAGAAAAGAAACAATTTTAACTTCTGTTCACAGAAGAAAGTGACCAACCTTGTCAGCTGCCTCTTTAGCTTTTCCACTTCACATGTTTTGGCCTTGTAGCTGTGAAACCAGATGTTTGGCAGTGCTCTCAGAGCGTGGCTTGGGAGAAGGAGCAATGATATGCCATGGCCTGAGGTTACTGGATCTGCCCCTGAACAAATCAGGCAGCTTCTGACCCTGGTGGGCTGCGGGTAACACCACAGCAGGGGTTACCATAGCCATAGTACCACAATCAGAGCTACAGAGTAGTTCGGTTATCTGTCTTGTGGTGCAGGTAAAACAAGTTTCTCCTTGTGGGACCTACTTGTAGTGAGGCCTGATCCACAAGCTAGGCCTGGGAGAATAGCTGGGGTTTCCCAACAGGAGACAGATTCCCAACATTCAAATGGATAAACTTGTTAAGAAAAATGAGACAAAGACAGCCCCTGACTTCATTCTCTTTCACATGACAGGGCACATCTATATGTGAAATGAATGTACCTGAATAAACTCCAGCACAGTTTGCACCACAGTTTACTGTTCTTGGGTACTATATTTACACATGCACCCAGGACCACAGCACATTGATCAGATTCAGAGCAGGCCAACCTGGCAGAGAGGCTGGGGAGTCATCCTGCCAGCCTGGGGCTGCTTCAACCTGGCTCACCCGGCTGCGGAGGGGGGCGGGTGCGGAGGGGCTGGCTGTGTCATGAGGGTGCTTCAGTGTGGGGCTACCTGGCAGGCAGCTCCCACACTGAAGCACCCTCCTACCCCAGCCAGCCTCATCAGCATCTATACGTACGTTGTGGTACACTAAACAATGCTGCTGCAGGATAATACTTGTGTTTACATGCAGCCCTACTAGGGCCGCATGTGTAGCTGTTGAGACCTTACTGTGGAACTAATTAGTCAGCTCCACAGTAAACCTCTTGTGTAGATGCACAGTGTACTAAAGAACGTCCAGCTCCTCAACAACTTTCAGTCACCCATTACAGCTGAATAAATTGCCCTCTGGTACTTTACCAACTTGACTGCAACTATGCTTCCGGGCATATCCAGCTAGACCACATCTGCTGTGCCACTGAATATACACGGTATAATCTATTGACTTGAATGTAAATTCAAAGGACAACTCTAGCACGATGTACGCACTATATTCTGGAGGCTCACAAGGGGTATGGACAGGAGTTACATTTCTAGTGGGAGAAATGCATTTCACTCACTAGAAATTGAGTGCACAGATATTCCTTCAATTTCTCTCACAGGAAATATGCTGGTTTTGGGAGAAAAATCTTTTGTTTTAACAAGACTGGGGTCACCCTGGTCTGGAAAACATGTGGGGAGCAGAGACTGCTCCACTCTTCCCAGGGACTTCCCAGACAAAAGCTTGAATGAATGGACTTTGCAGGAGAACTCCTCATGCACAGATCTACCATAACAGACACTGCATGAAGGTCTTGGCACAGGCCCTCAGCTAGTGGGTTCCATGAAACTACTTAGGATTCCCTTCAAGGCTCATTATGATCAAGAGAAA